ATTTACGGCTAATTATTAATTAAAGTCGCGTACCTAACAAATTTTCAAACTCGATTTTATCGAAAATGGCACCCTGTAAGAAAAAACTATATTCCTTGTTTTCGACTAAATTTTATGTGAGAAATCATCCCCTTGCCGGTTGTACCACGATTTCGTAAACACCCTGTATGTAGAAACAGAATCTTCGACGGACGACGAACATCTGGAAGCGTTACGAAACTTCTGAATGGGGTTGGTGCGCGTCGACGATCATCAGGTATACGCGAGGATGTAACAAGTTTCGTGGGTACGTGCAGAGCAATCGTCCACGCGGAAACTTGGTTGATTCGTTGGTAGAGGAGATGCGTCAACGACGGGGGAGGAAGGAAGGAAGGAAGGAAGGAAGGAAGCCGGTTTGACGGCAACGACTTCGACGTCCTGCCGTGCCACCGTGTACTGAATAATTCATTATTCTGCATTTCGAAACGCGTTTGGGTCTCACGGTGATACGTCGATGACCATCCGCTTCGATCGAACCCTGCCTTTCCCTCCGTCGTTTCTAGACGATGTAATCGCGACGGGATATCCGTCTCATGAAAATCGATCGAGAGGTTGCATCGTTTCCACGCACCGAACCCCTCGTTTTCCCCGTTTTTAAGGGGCCTTACCAGTGTGAAACTTAATAAAATTGGGAGACGACATACAAATCAATTGTTGAGAATGTATTGGCTATACAGTCAATCCCAAAAGTTTATGTACCTTAGAAAAACGCATTTCCTATAATTAAAAAGAAATCAGACGTCGGAAGAACAATGCTAATAATAAATAGCTACGTGCTAAAAAGTAGTTGTTTTCCTTCTAACTTCGATATTTAACGAGTTACGTATCATTATTTGGCATTTTATTGATGTTGACAAAATCCGACCATCCCAGCGTCGAAACAGCGAACTTTTGGAAAAAAATTTCGTTTTTTGTCAATAACTCCCGAACGGATGGACGTAGGGGGGCATGTAGAGAACCGTTTTGTAGGGGACGACGAGATCTACGATTTCCATGTAAAAATTCTTCGCTAGCATCAATGTTTAACGAGTTATTGACGAAAAACGAAAAAACAGTTTTGTGCAAATTACTCGTAAACTATTGACGCTAGCGA